CGAGATCAAATCAGAAAAATCTGAATTGGTGACCACTAACAACACAAAGGGCGGCAAGAGTTATATAACAGCAAAACAAAAGTGCAGCAACAACTCTGCTAATTTCTCTATGATTTTACAACTTCATTAGCTATTCAGGGAGCTTACATTAGATTCCAAAACCATCATAAAACATTAGCCTAGACATGCAAATCAAGGGGAGATGGGAAAACTGGCAAGCTCAACATCATTCCTATGTTTCTTGCTGCAATTTTCATTCCACGGTCTTTGCAAACCCATGAAACTTTCGGCCAGCAAGATTCATGCAGGACTTTGACACGCCCTTTGTACCGTAAAACAAGACAGCCAACAAGTTAAGTCAAGATCTTTCCTAAAACTCTTAGCAAATATCACCAAAACATTAACAAAGTTCCATAATCTTCATTTGAAGGACACAGCTTTTCAAACAAACCCACGGACGAGAGGAAAGGAAATGAAAGCAACGAAAGGCAACATCAGTATGCGACTGACGGAATCTAAATCTGGTCAAAATATGCACTGCTCTTTCCCTTTTAATAACCCAAACGAACAATATCAGAAAACATCAGATTCCTGGCTTAAACTTCCCCCCAGATTCATGAATAGCAAAAAGTAAACAACCTTCAGTCATGGGCTTAGAACAAAATCCGAAAAATAGTTCTAATGATTAACTTACCGAGACAAAGAAACCTGAGGAATCGATGCAAGCTGCGTGGATTTTCTGGAGTGAAACCAGGCGCCCCTTTCGCTTGGCTCAAATTTCAGCAGAGAGATTTCTGAACTTTTCTCTCTTCCCTTTCGATGGAGATTCGCGACTGAAGATGGTATCACAACTTCTCACGAGGGTCAGCAGCTTCAATAGATTCTTGGCTCGCCAAGGAAACAGCACCAGATTCCGTCTTCCCTCCCTTTTTGCTCTTTTCTTCTTCAATCCTTAGCCCCGCCGCTACTCCCTCAGAACTCTCTCAGACCTCTTTTCTCTTCACCGTTTTTCTTTCTTGCCTTCTGATCCGACCTTCCCTTGCTATCCTACTCTCCTCTGATTTTTCTCAAGCTCCGCCGCAACTCTTGCTTTCTAACCTTTCGCTCTCGTCTCTCTTGTTTCCTCACTTAACCAGCCGCCAACTCTCTTGCTTTGTTTTTTCATTTTTTTTTCCATTTTTTGGCTCCCCCCATGGCTTCTCCCAAAACCTAGCCGCCTTTGCTTTCCTTCCCTTTTTCCCTTTTTTTGTTTTCAAATCCTCAATCCTACAAGTGTCTCCATCTCCCCCCTCCTAAGTGATGTGTTGTCCAAATATAAAAGGGACACTTGTTCTAATGCATGTTCTCCATTTGTCTAGCATGCAAACTTTCACTAATTTCACACATTATTTTGTATTTTTGTATTTTTCATTTTTCCCTTTTTTTGAAATTTAGTATGAAGACAAAAATAATAGAATAAAGTGAATTAGAACAAAACAAAATAAAAACACTAGAATTGAAACAAATAAAGCAAAGTTAAAAAATCAAAAATTTGGTGTCTTCACAGCTACCTAGAGGTCACCACAAGACCGCTAGCCTAACATTTAAAGCAATAAATTAAACACTTCAAGTCCGCTAGCCTAATCCATGCTTAGGGTTCAAACCCTTGCAAATAATGCTCCAATCTTTGAAGAAAATGGAAAGGTTCAAGGTTGATGAAGACTACCTCTCAGCTTTGGAAGAAATCAGAAATTTTGGACTGAAATTCTCCCAAGAAAACCTGCAAGATGAAGCCTTTCTCCAAGCTAAAGCTGCACTCCAAGTGGTATGTGAGTTGTGTGAAGATTTAGAGGTGAAATGGTGCAAGATTGGATGGAGTTTTCTTTCCTTCTTCTTCCTTGGGGCTGCTGGCCAAAAAATGGAGAGAGATGAGAGAGGTTTGTGTGCTAAAACTTGGGGAGAAAGAATGGAATAGTAGCCATAAGTGTTGGGCAAAAAGTCAACTCTTAATAGTGTCGCGCGCGGGTATCGTACCACCGTTTTCTCTCTTGTTTGTTACACTTGTGCACTAAACCTCCAATAAAATTCCTTTAACACTATAATTATTCACTCTTAGTAGTCTAGAATAAATTTCTTAAATCTCCACTTAATCGTTCCGGCTCGATTTACGCGAACTTCCGATTCGCACGCGATAAAACAAAACTTAAGGTTAATTCACGCCACTAAAATATAATTAACTAACTCTAGGGCAGATAACTTATAAAATGACTAAATTAAGAATGAAAACCTGAGTCCTCAAATCTCAAAGATCATTGGACTCTCGGATCGAATATTATATCGAAAAATGTGTATTTGATATTTCTCGCTAAACGAGCCGTAGAAAAATTAAATTCGCGAATGGAACGTTTTAAAAATATAAAAGAGACATTTTTTCATAGAAATGGATTTTAAAATGAATGAAATAAATTATTCAGAGTAAACGGGTGAATAAATAATTAATTAAGCCATTAAAATAATATAAAAGTAAGAAAATAAAATCCGGGTCCTCACAAAGACACCTCCCACAAATTGGTTGAGAAAAACCCTAGTTTTTTACCATAAAAAACTTGCCCCAATTAGACAAATAAAAGATATGATTTTCCCTTATTTCTTTCGACAAATTTAGGGTATTTTTCTCTCCAAATTTTTCTTAAAAATCTCACAAACAATTTGTATGTCGACTAGTCTTAATAGTAAAATTTTGATAAGTATTTATTGACAAATAAGTTATCCATGTCCTTATGAAAACCTAAAATCAGTTTCCAATAGGATTTAGTTTCCGTATTCTAATACGACATTCGTATTTTGAAGACTTAAACTTATTTGTACTATAAATCTCTCAAGTTTAATTTGTCTCACATATTGAACTATAAGATATAAAACTTATCTTTCAAATCTCTACTTGAAATTTATTTAATCCAATTAAAGAAGTTCTTAGTGTGTGTGACACATTAGGTTCTCATATACATTGGCAATAACTATGAGTTATAATTCTTAATTAACAAGAATTAGATAAATTAAAATCCTTTTAATTTATCATTGATTCTACTAATCAATCAACTCATACTTATAGATCAAGATTGACATCTAGCAATGCATCATGACCACTCAAATAATGAGAAAAGTCAAGTCGATGACTTCATCTTTCAGTGAACGCTTATCATGTAATTAATATCCTTTTATCACAATTATCTCACATTAATCTTGGAATATGTTGTGTCTATTCCAATACGTGATTAATGTTCATTTCTTATACCGAAATATAATTCCAATAAAAAAGCTGTAGACACCAAAATTTTAATTTTATTTAATTTAATTTTAGCTTTATTTTTTTATTTATTCTTGTTTTATTTTATTTTATTTTAGTTAACCAAAGTTTGCAAAATGATAGTTATCTATTTTTGAATAAGGTTCATCTTCTTTTAAAAATAATCAATAAAATAAAAACATTTTTTGCATTAAATTTCTGAAAAAAGAAAAGTCTCACAAAAATTTGTTTTTAATCTTTTCAAATTTAATTTCTTCAAAATAAATGAAAATTTGCAAGGCAATTTCAAATAGGAGTTTACATTTTGTTTACCCTAAATTTGTTTTGAAAAACAAAATAAAAAGAAAAAAACAAAATAGGTGGAAGACATGCATGGTAGCTAAGTGTATTAGGTGAGTATTAGCCATATGTCTTTGTTTTTTACACAACACATGCAAGGGGCTAGGTGGCAAGACAGGTGGAGAGTGTGGAAAAAATCTGGAACAAGGAAGAAACAAGAGAGAGGGCTTCGGGCAAGAGGAAAAAAAGAAAGAAGGGAAATGAGAAAAAGGGAAAAGAGAGGAGAAGGGGGATGTTGCGAAGGAAAAAAGAAGACAGCTTTGGGGCTGAGGAAGAAAAGGAAGAAAGGAAAAAGGAGGAAGGGAAAGAATCTGGGGAGAGAGCAAGAAAGAGGGAGACTGCAAAGGGATTGAGAGAAATCTGAAATAGAGAGGGACAAACTAGAGGAGCTTCAGGCAGGAAGAGGAAGAAGAAACAAGCAAGGGAAGAAAGGAAGAAAAAGGAAAAGAGAAGAGAAAGGAAGGAGGAGGGGAAATCTGCGAAATCAGGAAGAAAAACAGAGGAGAAAACGAGAGAGAAAACAGAAAAGTGCAGAAAAATTTTTCTGCAAAACCCATGCCCAGGCTGATCAACCAAGCCCTTTCCCGATCAAATTCCAACCTAATCTCTGGTCCGAAAAGTGAAATTTATTTTTCTGCACTATCTCTGGATACCCATGAACAATTCTTATTAAGAAATAATCTGGGAAAGACCTCTCCAACCCTCTCAAATCGTAGCTCAAAATGACGAGCTTGCTGGAAATTTCTGCAGCAAAATTTCTGGGCTTCGCTCCAGCAAACGACAATCATTTCTTGGGGGAACCTCACATCCATTTGACCATGAAAACATTCCCAGGTAAATCAAGACTCCTTCCCTTGTTAATCTAACATTTTTTTTACAAAGATTGAGGCCCATTTGGACATGAGTTCTTGAACTTGGCTGCGGTTTGATATGCTTGTTTGATGGCTCTGTCATGCCTATTTTTCTGACGATTTCTGGTTTTGCATTAGTCATTTAGAGCTTGATGAAAAGTTCAATGAAATCGGAAGAAGCTGATGCTCACATAAAAGCCATGAATCAGATTTTATTTCTTTTATCTTTTCTTTTTCTCTTACTTTATTTCCACATAAGCTGTTAATTCAGATCTTCACTTCATACCATTGCGTCTGGATTTTATGTTATTGTGGGTCATGAGACTTTGTGTGTAGGAGTCACCCCACGTTGCTTTTAAGTTGATAATGAGCCCAGAAATTCATAGAAAGTTTCATGAATGAATCTGGAATCGATACATAAATGGTGATTTAAGGAAAACTAGGAACTAAAAAACTAGGGTTTTGTTCATCACGGAATCTGACGGCTAGGGTTTTGTCTTCACGGCACCTTGCGTGGTGTAGCCATGGCAGCCCTCCGGCTCCCTGCTGGAGGGCGTCCCCCTGCGCATACAGTCTCCTCGTCTTTTCAAGGTAAGTCTTTTTCGGATCTGTTCAAACAGAATGTGTCACAACCATCGCTTTCCATTGCGGCAGAAACGGCAACCCACAAAGGCGAACCAGCGATTCTTTTTTCTCAGGCTACTGTGGACTCCTTGGCTGGTCCTTATCGTTTTGCTTTAGTTGGGAAGTTCCCCAGGGGTAGGCCGAGACTGGAGGAGGTGCGTAAATTCTTCTCAGCGCTGGATCTAAGAGAGATACCCACGGTGGGTTTGTTGGATTCGCGGCATGTGTTGATTCAGCTACAGACTGAGGCTGATTTCCATAGAGTGTGGTTCAGGAGGGTGTGGTACGTGGCCTCTGCTCCTATGCGTGTTTTCAAGTGGACACCAGGCTTCCATGTTGACAGAGAATCCCCTATTGTCCCTCTGTGGTTCCAACTTCCGAAACTCCCACTGCATTTTTTCCACAAGGAGGTGCTTTTCCAAATCATGTCCTGTGTTGGTGTGCCTCTGCTGGTAGACGCGGCCACGCTTGCGGTCTCTCGCCCGAGTGTGGCTCGCGTATGTGTCGAAGTGGATCTATTGAGAACGTTACCGTCGCGTGTATGGATTGGGAATGGAGACAGTGCTGGTTTTTGGCAGGAACTGGAGGTAGAGTTTTTACCCCAGTATTGCACTCACTGCTGCCGCCAGGGTCATGGCGAGAACAATTGCCATATTTTGCATCCGGAAATGCGGCACTCTATTGGGAAGCGGGCCAAACTGGGGGATGTGCAGGGGGGGCAGGAAGAGAGGTCCTCTGCACGGGCTGAGGGGACGGCTGGAGCTCAGCGGCGAGAGAAGGAGGAGGTGCAGCAGCAGGGCTCGCTAAAAGGCCCAGCAGATGCTCCCAATGGGCCGGAGGTGCGGTCCTCCCTGGGTCAGGGGACGGTTGGAAGTCAGCAGCATGGGGTGGAGGAGCTGCAACAGAAGGTTTCGCTAGGGGAGGAGGCGACGCTTCAGCAGGAGGAGCACCAGCCGCAGGTCACAGGGGTGGGGCTGCAGCCTGTCACGCTTCAAGCGTTGGAGATGGGCTGCTCAGAGATGGCTACTGGCCCAACAGCGGGTGTGGGTGTGGGGTGTACGCTGGGTCTGTTTGGGAAAGATGACGCCAACATGGGATCGGTACGGGCTGGGGGGGCCGCGATGGAGCAAGAACAGGTCTGCACTGCACGACTTGAGAAAGGAGATGGGGTGGCGGACGAAGTCGCAGCGGTGCAGCGACAGGTTGGAAACTTATCACCTAGGGGTGGGGGTGTTATGGTGAGGATACATGAGGGATCGTCATCATCAGTGGCAGGATTGAATCTTGATCCTGTGGTATCGTCTAGCAGTTTTGCACAAGAGGTAGATGGGTTGGGGAAGGCGTCTGTGGCTAAGGGACGCGGCACTCGCGCGATTTGTCCCTCAGATAGGACCCTACGACCTAGGGGTGCTGTATCCTCAAATTCCTTTTCTGTGGTATCTCATGATTAAGGTGCTTTTCTGGAATATTAGGGGGGTGGCTCATGCCCCTAATCTATCACGCCTAAGAAAGTTAATCAAATTGCACTCTTTACAATTAGTTGTGGTTGTTGAGCCCAAGACGGGCTTGGATAATCGCACTGCCATTAGACTACGGTTGGGGATGGACTACTGCCTCTCTAATCGGGAGGGTTCAGTTTGGGTGTTTTATCAGTCTTTGTTTGCTTGTCAGTGTATCGGGGAGTCGTCACAACATCTGACTATCCAGGTGCGCTCGCATCTATTTCCTACCCCTATTCATTTGTCTTGTATTCATGCCAAGTGTACGGAACACGAAAGGGAGATTTTATGGCATGACTTATTAAGTGATAACCCGGGGTCATATCCGTGGTTCTTAGTGGGGGATTTTAATATGATCACAAATGGAGAGGAGAAGAGGGGGGGCCTGCCATTTAGACCTTTGGAGGGTGTGGATTTCCTCAATTTCATGTCCGAAACAGGAGTGGTGGATGCAGGGTTCTCAGGGTCTAGGTATACCTGGTGCAATAATCGTCCAGGTCCGGCTCGGATTTGGAAACGCTTAGATAGACTCCTTCTTAATGGGACTGCATTGGGGATGCCCCACCAGGTCACGGTTCAACACTTGGGCAGGGATCCATCGGATCACGCTCCGTTATTGTTATCCGTGGTAACGCGGCTGGATAATAAACCAAGGCCTTTTCGTTTCTTGAATGTTTGGACCATGCATGAGGATTTTTTAGGGGTGGTTCGTAAATGCTGGGCACAGCCGGTGGGTGGGTCGCCTATGCAATTTTTGGCATCAAAGTTGAGGGCCGTGAAGCAGGTACTGAGGCAATGGTCTAAGCTTAAGTTTGGTGATATTTTTGAGACAGTTCGGGTCGCTGAGAGCGAGTTGGTGGATGTAGAGACAAAGTATGACTTGGACCCTTCGGATGCATTGCGGTGTGAACTAAATCAAGTCCAGGCACGATTGCGTCGAGCTCGTTTGATCGAGGACGGCTGCAAAAGGCACGTGCTAAGTGGCTTCAAGATGGGGATAGAAACTCGAAGTTTTTCCATTCAGTAGTGGCAGAAAGAAGACGGCGGTCAGTGATTCATCGAGTGAGGGGGTCCGACGGAGAGTGGCTCGACGAGGAGGCGCGAATTGGTGAGGCGGCTGTTACTTTCTTCCAGGAGCTTTTCACGGCGGAGACAGTTCTCCCGGCAACTGGTTTATTGGAAAACATTCCGAGTTTAGTCTCTGCCCAAGACAACGTTATTCTAACAGAGATCCCGCGGCTCGAAGAGGTTAAGGACATAGTGTTTGCCCTAGATGAGGAGAGTACGGCGGGGCCGGATGGGTTCACTGGGAAGTTCTTCACTTTTGCGTGGGAGGTGGTGGCCATGGACGTGTATCAGGCAGTGGTAAGCTTTTTCTGTGGGGCCGAAATCCCTAGGAACTTCACGGCAACATCGATTGTACTGCTGCCTAAGGTGGAACATCCTCAGGATTTCACCCAATTTAGGCCTATTAGTCTCTGTAATTTCGCTAATAAGATCATTTCGAAGCTTCTTTCGGAGAGACTAGCTAAGATTTTGCCCCGGCTCATATCCCCACAACAGAGTGGTTTTGTGAAAGGGAGGCAGATTGCGGATAACTTTTTACTTGCTCAGGAGTTGGTGTCAGACATTACGAGGTCTAATCGGGGTGGGAATGTGGTGATTAAGCTGGACATGATGAAGGCGTACGATAGAGTTTCGTGGCCGTTTCTGCTACAGGTCCTTCGCCGCTTTGGGTTCTCTGAGACTTGGATTGATATGATTTGGCGTCTGGTCTCTAACGTCTGGTTCTCGGTTTTGGTCAACGGCGCACCTCAAGGATTCTTTAAATCATCACGGGGCCTCCGGCAAGGGGATCCCATTTCACCGGCCTTATTTGTCCTCGGCGCTGAGGTGCTATCTCGCACCTTGAATACGGTGGCCAGCCAGCGACAGTTTGTTCCTTTTAAGGTCCCTCCTCGGTGCCCTGTTATAACGCACTTGGCGTACGCAGATGATGTTATCATTTTCTCCAGTGGTGCGCGGTCCTCGTTAAATCTGATTAAGAGGGTCCTGGAAGGGTATTGCATTACATCGGGTTAGCGGATTAATTCACAGAAAAGCTGCTTCTTGACTCATCCAAGGTTTCCGGCACCGAAGGCAGCAGTGATTGGCCAGGTGCTAGGATTTCAGAGGCGGGCGTTTCCGGTTAAGTACCTAGGTTGTCCTTTGTACGTGGGACGGAGGAAGAAGATCTACTTTGCGAACGTCTACAATGCGGTGGTGGCTCGGATCTTATCATGGAAGGATAAACTTTTATCTGTGGGAGGTCGGGTGGTGCTAATTCAGAGTGTGTTCGCCTCAATGCCCGTTCACTTACTCACAGCCGCTTCTCCACCAAAGGGGGTCATTGTGGCATTGGAAAGGGTGTTCGCCGATTTCCTGTGGGGGACGTCTGGCTTTGGGACTAGGTTTCACTGGATTCGGTGGGAGGCATTGTGTAGGCCGCGAGATGAGGGAGGGATTGGCTTGCGTGGGCTGAAAGATGTGCACGACTCGTTCTCGGTTAAGCTTTGGTGGAATTTCAGGCAACAGGCGTCACTCTGGGCAGAGTTCATGGCAGGGAAATATTGCGCGGGTTTGCATCCTTGCCTGGCAGAAGCAAGCCAGCGGGGATCTCTCACATGGAAGAGAATAAGTTCAGTACAGCAGGTGGCGGAGGACAGCATCAGTTGGGTTGTTAATGCGGGTTTGATGGACTTCTGGCATGATAATTGGTTGGGGACTGGTGCGTTATGTCAGAAGGTGGAGATCTTCCATGACCACCTGGTTGCTGATTTTGTTGACTGCGGGGCTTGGAACATTGTCATGCTTAATCAGTATTTGGATGCAGGTTCGGTGGCGAACGTCCTCGCTATGGACCCACCGACATTTCAGGATCCTGATAGAATGGTTTGGGCTTTGACTCCATCTGGCAGTTTCTCCACGGAATCAGCTTATTCCCTCGTCCGGCAAGGTGGTCACCGATCGTGGAGTGCGGCAGCCATCTGGCACCAGTGTATTCCACTAAAAATCTCTTTCTTCATGCTGAGGCTGATGCAACACAGGCTCCCTACCATGGACAGACTAAGGGGGGCTGGGGTTCAGGGCCCTTCTCGCTGCTGGTGTTGTCTAGAACCCAGGGTGGAGGACTTAGATCACATTTTTTGTGCTGGAGAGGGGGCAAAACGAGTCTGGCGTCATTTCGAGATGCGGCCGGGGGAAATGGGGCCGATATATACGGCGCGGCATATGATTTGGCTTTGGTGGATTCGGAGCGGAAATACGGAAGTCTTGAAATGTTTATATAGGATCCTCCCCGCGGTGGTTTGCTGGGAATTATGGAGAGCGCGGAATAGGGGTGTGTTTGAAGGACAACGACTGAAGATTAGGGCAACTGTGACTCGGATCGTTCAGTTACTGGGCGAGCTCTTGCGGACCCGTTTTCCATGGGTGCGGTTTACATCCTCGTAGGAATAGTTATTTCAACAGATAGCGTCATGTCGACCGCGAGTGAGCATTCAGCCCGTCCGCTGGATTCAGCCGCCAGGGGGGTGGAAGTTGAACTCCGATGGGTGTTCTCGGAGGAACCCGGGGATGAGTGGAGGGGGCTGGGTTGTAAGGGACTGTCATGGGAATTTTGTCTTCGGCTATTCCGAGTTTTTTGGTACGATGAGTAGCCTGCATGCAGAGCTGCGCGGGTTGCTTGTGGGAATAAAGCATTGTATGGATCGAGGGTTCCAACAGTTACATGTTGAGGCGGACTCGTTGACGTTGATTCAGATCGTGCAGGGGGATAGTGCATGCCCTTGGCAGTTGCAGCGGGAGCTGGACGTTCTCCTCCAATTTCGTCATTGTTTTCATTCTGTCACGCATTGTTATAGGGAAGCGAACTCACCGGCTGATCGTCTGGCAAACTATGGGGTTGATTCTGAGTTAAGGCAGGTCTTTACTGCTTTTGCGGATCTGCCCCGGTTAGTCATGGGGGACCTTAGGATGGATAGGTTGGGCTTTCCAACGTTTCGTAGGCGGGTGGTGAGGCACTCATAGATGTTGTCTCGTGTGTATGCTTGGTTTCAGGCCTTTATAATAAATAATAGTAGTATCTTTTCTTAAAAAAAGAAAAAAAAAAGAATCTGGAATCTGCATTACAGATTTTCCCCACATTACAGATTTTCCTTTCTTTTGTGTCCTCAATCTGGTAACTTGATGATAAGTTTATGGAGTTTAACGGGAATTTGAGGCTGTTTTCTTGTTTAAGATTGCCGTTAACGATTGCCGCATGAGGTTTGCTAAAATTTCAAAGCATCAGAAAGTTGAGTAAATTCTTAAATTGTTATGAAAAAAAAGTTGTTCTACAAGGGGGTAATTTTTGAAGCTAGTTCTAAGAGTATGATCTTCGCATTTGTGAAATACGAGTTCAAAGACTTCGCATTTCACAAATGCGAGTTCAAAGACTGTCAGTGTTTCACCAAAAAAAGAAAGGTTTTGGGAAAAAGTAAAAAATAGCAATGAAGCTCGCATTTGGCAAATGCGAACTTACCAAGCTCGCATTCATCAGATGCGAGCTCAGGTACCTCGCATTTCTCGAATGCGAGGTACTGAATCTGAAATGTCCCCAAAAGCGGTGATTCAATTTAAGAATGCGAGGTACTGAATCTGAAATGTCCCCAAAAGCGGTGATTCAATTTAACCTCGGCTTGAACCACTTGCTTTGTCAGAACATCCGCTGATGAATCCTTCTCTTCTCAATTTTTCTTCTTTGGCCTTTCTGCAAAAAATGACCCAACAATTCACTTCCAATGCTATACAAACACCAATCAACGTAGAGAGACCTAAACAATAGGCATTCAAATCTGTCTCCTAACCGATAGAAATTGAAGCTCAGTATCTCCATCCAGCTCACTCTTTCTTCTCTTTTGCTGAGCTAGACA